CTTCACTCTAAGTCTGGCCCCGCACGGAACACAGTTGTTAGCTCCGGAGGTCACCCCCTTAGGAGGAAGAGCAAAGGTAATAGAAACGTCACCTGCTGGATATCCGATGCCGACGTTGCTCAGATACCAAAATGAGACCTCCGGCAGATAGAGTTACCGCGGCATCAGCCAGCACTAACGGCAAGTCCCCCGCGGACCAGGTGGAGAGCAAGTTTCCCCCAATGGTCGGGTCGATGGTTGCCCCTCTACCGGGCTTCGATGACACCAATGCCGCCTGGAGTGAATTAGCTCGGCTTCTATCTGTTGCTGCCAACAAGGAGGTTCCTCGTACTCCTCAAGCCCCGACCCTTGAGCCCAAGATACCAGAGTGGACTACGGTCCGTGCCCCTGCCCCAAGCCCTGCCTTGCCTGCTAGGCCCGATTGGATACCGGACACTCCAGCCAGCCCTCTGTATCTCCATCGAGACATGAACTTCAGGCAGGCCCCCAACCCTCTTGTCCAGTTCCTGCAAATGCAAGCTGCAGCTGGGGCTGCCAGCCAGGTACCCTCGGCTCCTCCTCTGCCCTATGGGTCTGGCCAGGGCGACTCTAATTCTATGGTGTCACCGTTTACCCCCACGGGTGGCGTGCCGCCGGTATCGGCAGCCGCAGCAGTGGGTCTGGACGGTGACTTGGCTGGGCTGGCCGCCTGGGGAGCATCGTGGCCATCTTCTGGTATGATGAAACGACACAGCACGAGTCAGCCTCCCACCCCCATCCAAGAGGAAACGGTTGGTGAAGGAGGAGAATTCTTTGCGCCCCCTTCGACCGGCCAAAACCGTGTCGTGTATTAATAGCAAATATTATAGTAGCAGTCGGAATGGCCGTATTTTGGTTCCGATGAGGTTTATCAGTGAGATGTGTCCTTCGTGCCCTTATTGAGCCCCTCGGTAAAGTCGTCGCCTTCTGTCATCGGCTTCTACGTTGAGAAGCCTGTATTGGCATTGCCCTGTTGCTAGGCGAGAACATTATCTCGATGAGTCGTTATCCAGGGAG